CCTGGCAGTTGGTGGATTCGAACCTGGGGCCTTCCGGACCGAAGTCCGCTTCCTTTACCACTAGGCCACCACCTAGGCCTCACGCACCATCACCACCGCCTAATGCACCATGTCATAAAGCTGGAATCATTTCAGACTGGTTTCTTGAACATGACAATGAGTTCACTGTACTCAAATGGCCTCCACAGTCACCACATCTCAATCCAATAGAGCATCTTTGGGATGTGGTGGAACGGGAGATTCGCATCATGGATGTGCAGCCGACAAATCTGCGGCAACTGTGTGATGTCATCATGTCAATATGGACCAAACTCTCTGAATGCTTCCAGCACCTTGTTGAATCTATGCCACGAAGAATTGAGGCAGTTCTGAAGGCAAAAGGGTCCAACCCGTTACTAGCATGGTGGACCTAATAAAGTGGCCGGTGAGTGTATAATCTACTACATATAATCCTTCGTTTCCCAAAGGAACTCCTGAGGGATTAATGTAGTTCTACCTGTAAGAACAAATGAACCATGACCATGAATGTAAATGAAATATGAATCACAGACCAGTTCCAGACCAGTGTCACAGACGCTGGTGAAGTCAGATTTATAATTACACTCTCGTCTCACATGACAGACATGTACCAGATCTGGCCCGCAGGCCTCAGTTTGGACACGTGGTGTGTGTTTCAGAGACACCTACTTCTCTATGACCCTCTGTATCTCTCTGTGTTCTTCTTCTCTCAGTTTCAGGAGAATGTGCTCCAGGATGGGAAGCTCAAGGTTCAGATACTGCGCCACCTGGTGTCAGGAAAATACAGAAACAAAAGATAAACTCTATGACTGCTGAAGAAACCCCCCCAGCCCCCCCGATGTTCCTGCTCATGGACTCACATCGTTGCTGACCTCCCGTTCATCCACGTCCATCAGGAAGATCTTCATGATGTCATCAGACGGTCCCTGCAGGATTCGCTCCCACAGCGGCTGCTCTCTGTTACTGAGCTTCTTCTTCTCTGGTTCAAACAACGCAGCGTTACTTCTTCATGACCGTGATCTCTCTCATAAAGCCATAGAACCAAGAGAACCTACAGAACCAACAGAACCTACAGAAACTACAGAACCAAGAGACCCTACAGAACCAACAGAACCAAGAGAACCGACAGAACCAACAGAACCAAGAGGACCAAGACACCCAACAGACCCTACAGGACCAAGAGGACCTACAGAACCAACAGGACCTACAAAACCAAGAGGACCAAGACACCCAACAGACCCTACAGGACCAAGAGGAACTACAGCACCAACAGAACCTACAGAAACTACAGAACCAAGAGATCCTACAGAACCTACAGAAACTACAGAACCAAGAGACCCTACAGAACCAACAGGACCAAGAGAACCTACAAAACCTACAGAACCAAGAGAACCTACTGGACCAAGAGAACCAACAGAAACTACAGAACCAATAGGACCTACAGAACCAACAGAACCAAGAGAACCTACAGAACCAACAGAACCAAGAGGACCTACAGAACCAACAGAACCAAGAGAACCTACAGAACCAACAGAACCAAGAGAAACTACAGGACCAAGAGAACCTACAGAACCTACAGAACCAAGAGGACCTACAGAACCAACAGAACCTACAGAACCTACAGAAACTACAGAACCAAGAGAACCTACATAACCAACAGAACCTACTGGACCAAGAGAACCTACAGAAACTACAGAACCTACAGAACCAAGAGGACCTACAGAAACTACAGAACCAAGAGGACCTACCTGAACCTACAGGACCAAGAGAACCAAGAGGACCTACAGAACCAACAGAACCTACAGGACCAAGAGAACCAAGAGGACCTACAGAACCAACAGAACCTACAGGACCAAGAGAACCAAGAGGACCTACAGAACCAACAGAACCTACAGAACCAAGAGAACCAAGAGAACCAAGAGAACCTACCTCCACTCTGGTGAAGACAGTACAGAGCGAACTCCTGTGGGTCGTTCTCTATCTGAAGAATGAAGAATACTTCAGTCAAGTACTTCATGGTACACAGTACTGCAGGTACTTGACCTGAGCAGTTATTATTGTTTGTTGATGTTAAAGTCATGAAATAAAAAACGAACGAAAAATAATCAGAAGAATAAGGAAGTTGAGTGAGGATTTACAGTAAAGAGAAGTTCGTCAAAGGAAGTAGAAAAACAGTTCATTCACACTGTTCGTCAAAGGAAGTAGAAAAACAGTTCTGAGTTCATGATAGAAAAACAAACTCCCACAGACCTTGAACTTGTTCAGGAGCTCCTGGATCACCTGGTCTGTCGTCATGCTGCTGGAGATACGAACTTTAGTCGGAGTTCCGAAGGAAGGAGTGAAGATCGACGTCTGAACCAATCAAATAAACACGTTTTTGTAATGTTTTCAAACAAAAGCTGATGAAGTTTTCCACGTTATTTCCTGGTGCAAGTTTCTGTAACGAAACTGTGGCGAACAATCGGGCAGTTTGTGCAGTTTGTTTTTTACTTTGAGGCTAACTCCTGGACTAATTGCTAACCTGCTAAAATGCTAAAAACCACATTTTAATGGTAATAAAATGCCATTTAAATTCAACGTAGACGTTTGAGAAGTTTGACCTTGTAGTTGTAGAAATGTCCATTGATAGAAAAGCGGTGCTGCCGTTCGCTCTCTCTCTGTGCGGCCGTCTTCCCTCGTCCTCGTCTCCTCTTGACCAACGATGCGTCACTCATGCAGCGGAACAGATTGGACTCGTCCTCCAGCTCCTGGTTCTTCGGCCTCACTGGACGCAGGGTGCTGCTCTCGTACACAACAGGCTCTTTGGGGGAGACAGAATGAGTCGCGCTTCTGTTTCCATCGGTGTCTGGTTGTAACGTGAACGTAAGAATTCTGCTGCGTTAATGGAACCAGAACCAACCTGGTGTCGGCTCCGTGACCACGGTTTCCTGGACCGTCTCTGACATCTCATCGATCTGATGAAGGTCAGAATATTCTCCCCACCGAGTCATTCCTCTGTACAGACGCACAAACACCACAGACATTGGTACAGACCTGGGTCTGTGTTTCTGCAGCTGCAGTTCAGCCTTAAAAAGAATTCATTTTTACTGTTTCAACTGAAGTCACAAACAAACAAACAAACAAACAAACAAACAGAGTCGTCGTCAACGTCTGTTGCACAGAAACAGTCTGTTGTCTGTCTGTAGGTTGCCATGATCTTTGTCAATACTTAGGTATTGGACAAAGTGAATATCTGGACTACTTTAAAGTACTTTAAAATACTTTGAAGTACTTCTCCACCTCTTATTCCCCACTGGACTGACTGGACTGCTGGGCATCTGCTTGTCGTCCTGTATCTTCAGCCTGATTGGTCTCCTCACCCCCCAGCAGATATTCAGGATACCTTCCACCACCACTTCTCCGTCCGCCGCCTGACACACAGTCAGAAGACAAAAAAAAAAAAACACAAAACAAAAACTAAAATGTGGTTTTGGTCCAAAGACGTTAAAGTCCATGGTGTCTCCACGTCACCTGAGAGAAGCTGAGGTGGAGCTGAGTCTGGTCCTTCAGGAAACAGTTGTAGGTGTTGAGCAGTGACAGGAACTCAGCTCTGAAACAGTTTCAACAGAGCAGAAAAATCAAAAGACTGGAGAAACCAGTGACGTCAATCACGGAGAACACACACTCCACACACACTCAACACACACTCCACACACACTCCACACACACTCCACACACACTCAACACACTCCACAAGGCCGTGAAGTTCATCAATAATCATCAATAAACCTTTTTGTTCAGTAAACAGTTCCATCGGTTCTGAGGACTTTGTCAAAGGAATCACTCAAAGTGCTAAACGTTAGCCAGAGCATATAAACAACAACAGAACACTTAGCACCTGGCTAACTAAATATTAGCTACGCTAGAAATCATCTGAAATATATTTTAATGAGCCTCAAACGATCAATTAAAAATAGAAATAAAACTCTAAAGTAGTAACAACAACAACAACAACAAAACGTTATCTTAGGAACACAAACTTTATCCCGGAGTTAGCTCAAAGAATAAAAGATTAATAGTCATAAAATAACGTTCGTGGTAAATCCTAACGGAGCAGCTAACAGTTAGCTCAAAAAAAACTTCTGTGACTTTGATCAAAAATCCAGAACAAACATTTTTTTCCCAAATTGCAATGGACAAAATAAAAACAAGTAAAATCTTTGAAACCGTGCGGGGGCGCTAACCAGCTAATAAGTCCATGCTAACGCTTTAGCACCGTGCAGGCGTGTGATGTCCTCCGGACACAAGTGTCTCACCTGGACAGGGTCCTTCCGTCTCCTGCCTGGATGAAGGGGAGCACAGCTGCTTCATTCATCTCTGCTTCACCAGAACTACAGCGACATCACGTGGCAGCCGCAGGTACAAGGAGGAACAACGAAAGTCAGTCCGGTGTCTGGAAGATACTGACGTGGAAAAGAATCAAAACAACTGGGAATTACCCAGACTGCACCTGTACAACGCACACGCACACGCACACACACTCAGGCAGGTTCTTTTCTAAACAGTTTCTATAAGTTCAGACTCCTACCGTGAGTGACATCTGACCAATCAGAGCTCGGACTGAGTCTGTCGCTTTGTCTGTTTCTGTGTTATATTTATCTCTCTCTCTCTCTCTCTCTCTCTCTCTCTCTCTCTCTTTCTCCTCCACCACAGTTAATAACAGTGCTCCACCCAGTAACCAGTGGTGACAGTGTGCAGCAGCAGCAGCAGCAGCAGCAGCAGTAGAACTCAAACTCCGCCCTCTTGTGGTTAAAGTCAAGTTTCCACCTGTTTTTTTTCTCTTTAACTTTCTCTCTGGTGTCCCCCCCCTTCAACCCCCCCTGCTTGAAAAAGGACACGTCAGTCTGACAGCAGCAGTGTCCCCCCCCCTCCCCCTCCCCCCCGTGTCTCAGCCTGTGAAAACTCTCAGGTATTCACAGCTGTCACCCTGCAGCCACAACACTCCCTGCTCCCATTCACACACAGGGTGTGTGTGTGTGTGTGTGTGTGTGTGTGTGTAACATAATGCAGTGTCAGCACAAAGTGAGAGTAAAAAGTCAAAGTAACACTTTTGTCTCTGACCGACTTTTCACAGAGTCTTTCAACCACAAATAAACCTGTAAAATATATGTGTATATAAATATATCAATGTGTTTTCAGTTACTACAGAGATACTTCACCAGTACACAGTACACGTACTCCATGCAGTACGGTGATGTTTCTTCTACTCTACATGTCTGGACAGGAACTACCTGAATATTCACCACTCAGTACTACTGCAGTAAATAGTACACAGTAATGTCAGTCTGGCTGAACCAGGTCCAGGTCCAGGTCCAGGTCCAGGTCCAGGTCCAGGTCTCACCTGGTGTCAGTGTGTCTGTGGTGATGTCAGTGATTTATGAGGGAGTGCAGTACAGTCCAGGAGAACTGCAGTACAGTCCATGAGAACTGCAGTACAGTCCAGGAGAACTGTAGTACAGTCCATGAGAACTGCAGTACAGTCCAGGAGAACTGTAGTACAGTCCATGAGAACTGCAGTACAGTCCAGGAGAACTGTAGTACAGTCCAGGAGAACTGCAGTACAGTCCAGGGGAACTGCAGTACAGTCCAGGAGCACTGCAGTACAGTCCAGGGGAACTGCAGTACAGTCCAGGAGAACTGCATTACAGTCCATGAGAACTGTAGTACAGTCCAGGAGAACTGTAGTACACAGCACGGCTCAGGACGGTGACATCACAAACTTTATTGTCCAGACTGAGGCAGAAGGAGAAAAAAATAGAGTACACACTGACACACCCTGTTCCTCCCTCTCTCTCTCTCTCTCTCTCTCGTCTTTTTACTTTCCCTTCTCCACAGTGAACAGATGCCACATGTCAAAGCTCCTCCTCAGACCCAGGGTCGTGGTCTCCTCCTCAGCCCCAGGGTCGTGGTCTCCTCCTCTGACCCAGGGGCGTGGGGCCCCCCCCCCCCCCCCCCCTCTCTCTCTCTCTCTCTCCCTCTCTCCCCCTCTCTCCCTCTCTCTCCCTCTCTCCCTCTCTCCCTCTCTCCCTCTCTCTCCCTCTCTCCCCCTCTCTCCCTCTCTCTCACTCTCTCTCACTCTCCCTCCACCTCTCTCTCTCTCCCTCTCTCCCTCTCTCCCTCTCTCTCACTCTCTCTCACTCTCCCTCCACCTCTCTCTCTCTCCCTCTCTCCCCCTCTCTCTCCCTCTCCCCCTCCCTCTCTCTCTCTCCCTCTCTCCCTCTCTCCCTCTCCCTCTCCCTCTCCCTCTCTCTCTCTCTCGTCTTTTTACTTTCCCTTCTCCACAGTGAACAGATGCCACATGTCAAAGCTCCTCCTCTGACCCAGGGTCGTGGTCTCCTCCTCAGCCCCAGGGTCGTGGTCTCCTCCTCAGCCCCAGGGTCGTGGTCTCCTCCTCAGCCCCAGGGTCGTGGTCTCCTCCTCAGCCCCAGGGTCGTGGTCTCCCCCTCTGACCCAGGGTCGTGGTCTCCTCCTCTGACCCAGGGTCGTGGTCTCCTCCTCAGCCCCAGGGTCGTGGTCTCCTCCTCTGACCCAGGTCGTGGTCTCCCCTTCAGACCCAGGGTCGTGGGCTCCCCCTCTGACCCAGGGTCGTGGTCTCCTCCTCAGCCCCAGGGTCGTGGTCTCCTCCTCTGACCCAGGGTCGTGGTCTCCTCCTCCTCAGTGGAGGTATATTTCTGACTCCACTCAGGGGGAGACCAAGACTCTGGGTAATCAGTACTCAGATTACTGATTACTGATTACTGTAACTGTAACAGTGACAGAGCTCTGTTTCACACACATACAGGTGTTCAGACACCGGTGAGTCCCTCAGTCCTACCTGAGCAGCAGATCTAGGATCCTCCACCAGAAAAACATTCATCCATGTTTGAGCTCCTGTCGCCGGCAGCAGACGTGTGTGTGTGAAGTGTACCCAGGGTTAGGTGTGTGTGTGTGTGAGTGTGTTGAGTCCAGAGTGCAGTGTGTGTGTGTGTGTGAGGAGGAGAACTGACTGCAGCTGGTTAATTATTGTAGGACACGTTGAGACAGAGTAGAGACGGAGGAGCTGAGTGACACCAGATATGACTCACCCTGAGTGTGTGTGTGTGTGTGTGTGTGTGTGCCTAGAGTGAGAATGAACAAAGAGAGAACAAAAGAGAAAGAGCAGGGAGTGTGTGTGAGAAAACACACACACCCAGAAACGTCCTTTATTATTATTATTATTTATAATAAAACATTACACTTTACTCTATAACATTTCAATATAGAAAAGGACAGATTGTAATACATACATATATAAATATATATATATGCAGAACATAATAAGTTTAATACATAACTCTCCAATGTAATACATGTAAAAACATGTAAATAAACAATCAGTTTATTATAATAAACTTAATAATAATAATAAAACATGGAGTAAAATATTTTTTGTCTGATGATGATGAAGATGATGATGAAGATGATGATGAAGATGATGATGATGAAGATGATGATGATGATGATGATGATGATGATGATGATGATGATGATGATGATGATGATGATGATGATGATGATGATGATGATGATGATGATGATGATGATGATGATGATGATGATGATGATGATGATGATGATGATGATGATGATGATGATTATAAAGGTTCTGTGTTATGTTCATCGTTATGTTCATGCTTTTAAAGGGTTAATAGTTCCGGGAGTGAGGAGGCGTGGTGACTTATGCATTACAGTCAGTCAGTCAGTCAGAACAAACGAACAAACGAACAAACGAACAAACGAACAAACGAACAAACGAACAAACGAACAGTCAGACGTTTGTGATTTACCCTACAGTGCAGCTGTTCTGTGTAACAGCACCATCTTGTGGTGAAAACTGCACAGTAACGGAACAGGGTTCAATCTCTGCTGTTTCCCAGTGTGTCCCTGGGCAAGTCCGGTGTCAATTATACGCAGCCAATCAACGAGCAGTGACGTCATTGTTCTGCGAAGAACGGCTGCAGCAGGAAGAGTGGCTCAGGTGTAAACCAAAGGTCAGACGTTTCATTATGGAGATCAGAGGAGGAAGAGAAGGAGGAGAGGAGGAGGAGGAGGAGAGGTCCTCACCAAGAACCAGGCAACGTCAGAGAGGAACAGACCAGTGGACCAGTGGACCAGTGGACCAGCGGACCAGTGGACCAGTGGACCAGTGGACCAGTGGACAGGAGGGTTCATCTGTCAGCTTTACTACAATAGTCGTCCCCTACACACGGCTGAATGGAGGAGGAGGAGCAGGAGGAGGAGCAGGAGGAGGAGCAGGAGGAGGAATGCCATTCCTTTCTTAAAATATCCCAGGATACGCACACACACACACTCATACAGGCAGTCAGGCAACAGGTGGACACAAAGGCTGGACTCTGTGTTAACACTGTGCCCTGTGTCGAAATACTGCAGTACTGCTTATACTGCGGGTGGTGGATATTGCAGTACTCCTGGTACCACAGGTGTCGATCACTGATTGGTTCAACAGAACTGACTCCTCTTGAAACATTTTGTTTTACTACAGAATTCATTTGAATAACTTTTGATTCCTGTTAAATTTGCAACATTTTGTTTATCGTAACAACTTTTACATCATAAACTTTGTTGTTTTCCTGTTACCTTTCTATTACCATTAGCAGCTGCTAACAGCTGTTAGCACTCCTGAGATTAGATTGATTGACTGATCTGAAGTAAGTCTGAAGTTAGTGTGAAGTTAGTCTGAAGTTGGTCTGAAGTTAGTCTGAAGATAGTGTGAAGTTGGTCTGACGGTACTCTGAAGTTATTCTGAAGTTAGTCTGAAATTAGTCTGACGTTAGTCTGAAGTTAGACTGACGTTAGTGTGAGGTTAGTCTGAAGTTAGGTGTGTGTGTGTGTGATGGACAGCGGCAGCTGCTGGGTGTGCCCCCACACACACACACACAAAGATTCATCTACATTTACACGAATCCATGCTACACTAACTTCAGACTTACTTCAGATCAGTCAATCAATCTAATCACAGGAGTGCTAACACCTGTTAGCAGCTGCTAACAGCTGTTAGCACGCCTGAGATTAGATTGATTGACTGTTCTGAAGTAAGTCTGAAGTGAGTGTGGAGTTAGTCTGAAGTTAGGTGTGTGTGTGTGTGGGGGCACACCCAGCAGCTGCCGCTGTCCATCACACACACACACACAAAGATTCATCTACATTTACACGAATCCATGCTACACTAACTTCAGACTAACGTCAGACTAATTTCAGACTAACTTCAGACTTACTTCAGATCAGTCAATCAATCTAATCACAGGAGTGCTAACACCTGTTAGCAGCTGCTAACAGCTGTTAGCACTCCTGAGATTAGATTGATTTACTGATCTGAAGTAAGTCTGAAGTGAGTGGGAAGTTAGTCTGACGGTAGTGTGAAGTTAGTCTGACGGTAGTGTGAAGTTAGTCTGAAATTAGTCTGACGTTAGTGTGAAGTTAGTCTGGCGATAGTGTGAAGTTAGTGTGATGTTAGTGAGAAGTTAGTCTGAAGTGAGTGGGAAGTTAGTCTGAAGTGAGTGGGAAGTTAGTCTGACGTTAGTCTGACGTTAGTCTGAAGTTAGACTGACGTTAGTGTGAAGTTGGTCTGACGTTAGTGTGAAGTTAGTGTGATGTTAGTGAGAAGTTAGTCTGAAGTGAGTGTGAAGTTAGTCTGACGTTAGTCTGACGTTAGTCTGAAGTTAGACTGACGTTAGTGTGAGGTTAGTCTGAAGTTAGACTGACGTTAGTGTGAAGTTGGTCTGAAGAA